TGCTCGCGCTTCAGATGTGTGCGCTGCACGCAAACAGTGTACAAGTTCTTTCCCTTCCTGCACTTAAATAGTTTAAGATTACATTAAAATGCGAACGCGGGAATTGTTAAGCGGAATCGAAAAGCACGTCTTATCGAATACCCGATTATTGGAAATTTGGAACCGGTTCTAAAATGGAACCGGTTCTCGATACCCAATCCTAAATATGATATATTCCCATTATAATACTTGATATGTAGATAAAGGTCTGGGGATTCGCATAAAATGACATATTGCTGGAGTTCATTGCTCTCTCATTTCTCTTCTCTTTGTTTGTACCGTGTGGAGTGCAGCGTGCTGTGACTCATGTTGCTTCAAGCACATCATTCTGCACCCTACTGTAGATGTGCATAAGCGCTGTGACTCCATGTTGCTTCAAGTGCACCATTCTGCACCCTGGATGTGCATAAGAGCTTTGAGCTCTGTTTGAAGCGGTTCACATTATCAAAGTTTTGCACACAGAAAGATTATTAGAAGCTTTTTTTCCTCATGATTTCTATCTTATTTTCATGAATGTATTTTGCAAGAATATAAATATTTAACAGAATAAACATGTTTAAATTGTATAATGTGCACCAAAGATTTTTCTTCAAGATATTGTTTTTGCTGCTAAATTATACAGTCAGCTAGTTTAATTTCATAGCTTATATATTTTTATTCAAATGTAGTTTTTCTCTGTAATGAGGAAGTGAGTATTTAGTGGATTATGTTTAACAAAGGGTTTAAAAAAAGAGTGACCATTAGTTCCACAAACACAGTATTGATATTCTGTAGTGGTGTAGAAAAAAAATAGCGCTGGTGTTGGATCGGTATTGAGATTACATTAAAATGCGAACGCGGGAATTGTTAAGCGGAATCGAAAAGCACGTCTTATCGAATACCCGATTATTGGAAATTTGGAACCGGTTCTAAAATGGAACCGGTTCTCGATACCCAATCCTAAATATGATATATTCCCATTATAATACTTGATATGTAGATAAAGGTCTGGGGATTCGCATAAAATGACATCTTGCTGGAGTTCATTGCTTTCTCATTTCTCTTCTCTTTGTTTGTACCGTGTGGAGTACAGCGTGCTGTGACTCATGTTGCTTCAAGCACATCATTCTGCACCCTACTGTAGATGTGCATAAGCGCTGTGACTCCATGTTGCTTCAAGTGCACCATTCTGCACCCTGGATGTGCATAAGAGCTTTGAGCTCTGTTTGAAGCGGTTCACATTATCAAAGTTTTGCACACAGAAAGATTATTAGAAGCTTTTTTTCCTCATGATTTCTATCTTATTTTCATGAATGTATTTTGCAAGAATATAAATATTTAACAGAATAAACATGTTTAAATTGTATAATGTGCACCAAAGATTTTTCTTCAAGATATTGTTTTTGCTGCTAAATTATACAGTCAGCTAGTTTAATTTCATAGCTTATATATTTTTATTCAAATGTAGTTTTTCTCTGTAATGAGGAAGTGAGTATTTAGTGGATTATGTTTAACAAAGGGTTTAAAAAAAGAGTGACCATTAGTTCCACAAACACAGTATTGATATTCTGTAGTGGTGTAGAAAAAAAATAGCGCTGGTGTTGGATCGGTATTGGCCAATTCTTCGAATCTGGAATACTCTATGTAACCTTACACTGCAAAATAATAACTCAAAAAAGATTAAAAGATAACAACATAATTCAATATATAATCACAATTATATAATGAAAGCCATAAAAAAAAATGAAAATTAATCATGAAAATCGGCATAATCGCCAAAGCCCTAAAACAATTAATCGCTATAACCGTGACTATTTTTAGACAATTAATCATCAGCCACATTTCATAATCGTGACAGCCCTACTTACATGTACACAGTAAAATTAACCCTTACATTTCTTGTCACTCAGTCTACACGCTATTTGTATTTCACTCTTAAGTAATGGTAATGTCTTTCCAAAAGTTACTTTTGTTACAACAGTCAGTAGTAGTTGGAAATTTTCATGCATAAGACACATTAGACAAAGTATTTTTTTTTTAATCCTATAGAAAAGGGAAAAAAAAAAATCACTGAATCTAATCTTTGTTAATATTGTATATTGATTTAAGTATCACTGTTTTGAATTAGCAAAAATTGCTTTTGAATTTAACTGAAAGTCATGGAATCAAGAATCAAATTAATTTGCGGTCAACCTAAAGATTCACAGCTCTAGGTTTAATACATGAAAAATATCATGCCAAGACTACAACACTGCATAATGTATTTTCGTCAGTGATATCATGGTGAACAGGCCTATTGTGAATATTTGATATATCGGCCAGACCTAAAAATTTTATTATTTTTCTAATGGTGTCTGACATTCCTTTGTACATAACTGTAGGTGAAAGACACTAAAACAATGCTAAAGTTTCTGTAAACACTTAGATATCAGTGTTTACACATATTCTGTGTAAGAATAATTTAATCATCATAACACATTCATGAGTGTATATTTGTACACCACATCACTGAGTGCATCAAATAAGACAACACATTTGCTTTGAGGTTGATGAGACAAATATGAAAACTGTTCAGAGCAATAGTCTTGTTGCATTTGACCTGAGGCAAACAGTAGTGAGGTCATGGAGACAGTTAGACTCCAATCATAAACAAACCACAAACTAAATGTAAGAATTTGTCACATGGTTTAATGTTGACACAAACATCTCCCTGTAGATCATTACAGTGAAGATCAAAGATCTTGAGGCTATACTATATTGTGAATGAAGCCACTGCATTTTTAGCTTAACAACACCCTTTAGGCCAGTGGTCTCAAACTCAATTCCTGGGGAGCCACAGTTCTGCACAATTTAGCTCCAACCCTAATCAAACACACCTGATCCAGCTAATCAAGATCTTCAGGATTACTATAAACCAGAGATTGTCTTACTATTGGGAGATACGAGGGTCTGTATTACTTACTATTGGAGAAAGCATAACGGTCAACTTGGATCACGTGTGCCTTAATAACCATTCACATTACAGCCTTGATGTCATTGAATTTCAGTCAGAGTTGTGTGACACTCAGTCGCCATTTACGGATACCATAGGAATGAATGAGAAATGGCGTAAGCTGAATCCCCCTTGTCGCAAAAAGTCAATGACTTCTCTTATAAAACGAAACCCTTTATTTCCACATTTTAGCATGCTGTTCTCATTACAGAAATAATGTACTTTTAAAAGAATATACTTAATTGCTATAGTATAGTTAACACATCAAAATTGTTGTACTTGTTGACAAGATTATTTAATATAAAGAATTTTTTCGGTGTAAAAATAGCTAAATCCAAAAGTATTGTTTAGTGTAAAACATGTTGAAGATTAGCCAATAGGCTGTCGATTCATTAAATGATAAGCTGTTTCTTCTATAAAGATGTTTATTCAGCATAGTGAAGCCTCTCCTCCATTGATATCCATAAAAAAAACGGCCTCTGGTCTCCTTTCCCACATACTGCCAAAGCGGAAGCGTTAGCATTAGCCGTTACTTTTTTGGCTAAAGGTAACTGCTTCCAAAATTTCCAAGCAGGTGTGAGTTGGAGCTGGTTGGAGCTAAACTCTGCAGAGCTGTGATCTTCCAGGAATTGAGTTTGAGACCACTTCTTTAGCCATATCTATGTACAGGTTTAATAAAAGTCTACTGGAGAATCAACCATGCTGGCTTGACTCACAAGAACAAACCTCACTAGATTAATCTGCTCCATTCATGTGGACGTCTATTTGTAAATTTTAATGTGTGAAAGATTTGGCTGTGTGTACTTTCAATGGATAAACAAAAATAAACAGAAGAAATAGAAATGAAGAAAAATATCTTCATTTGTGCTCCAAAGATGAACAAAAGTCTTATAGGTTAATGATGTAAATGATGGATAAAGTAACCCTCTGATTCATGTGTTAATTAAATACATTATTCCACTGTACATATTATACCTACTAAACCTGATCAGTTGTGGATTTAGGAGGAGATTCATATTTTACAAGCATTAAAAGAAATACCCTTGGCCACTGCACATTTGTTTAATGTTAAGTACAGGAATGAGCATGACGTGACATGGTTAATGACTGCAAACGACTTTGAATTTCAATATTTCAATACAGTAAACAATACAGCCTTTTCTCTATCATTTATAAATAAGAACGAGAATACACATACAGGTGTTATCAGAATGGACTTGTTGGCTGTTAGTATTTATGCTTGTTTGTCCTGTTTTTTTCTTTTTTGTTGTAATTTTGTATTTGGCACATGTAAATATCGTCACACTCACATCCTTTACTTGCATAATAATAATAATAATAAAAGAATGTGTGCATATTGTGACTAGTGTTAAAAAGTCAAATAGCATAAAATGAAACCATTGTAATTCATGTCACCAAAAAAAAAAGAGTTACATTTAACAAACATATTTAATTAATCTGCCCTAGTTAACATGATCTTCGATAATACCAAACAAATGACCCACAATGTTATGACATCGACGTATGTGAAATCAATTTACCTTGAAAATAATTTTTTTTTTTTTAGCTATTCCACTTAGTGCTGTAACAGATTGAGATGTGGTGTCTTACCTCTGTGTAGTCAAAATCTGAGAGTGGAGCTATACTTTTGATGTACTCAGCTCTAGGCTGATTGGACGGGTTGGCGATTGACACAGGGGGCGTTAAGGTGCTCATAGCAGATACTATCGTCTGGAATATGGAAACAGAGGTGTTAAAGCAGGCTGAATGTGGGATAAATTAAGTCACAGTAATCAGCAAAACACAACTACTAGAGATAAAAAAAAATTAATTTACAAAAATGACTTACCACAATTGCGTCCTTCACATTTTTCCGAATATCCAATATTTTTTGCTTCTTTTCTCTGAACAGAGAAGGAAGAAAATAGGAGGAAACAACTGTCATTAAAAGAATGAATGAGTGTCAAAAAAAATTCTCCACAATTTACTAATGTGACTATAATATTACTCAAAGTTGGGCCTTATCAACGGCCAAGTTATGATTATAAGCAGTCACATGCCTAAACACAGCACATACTGCACACAGTGTGACCTCATTTCTGGCCATCCTGATAGTGAACATGGAAATAACAGCACAACACTCTGATACTTAATCAATCTAGTTATTATCTAACTGTTTTATCTGCCATGAGATAAGGCCCAAAGATACTGTCTACGTAAACAACACAAAAAATGAGACTACATGCGCCAAAAATGCTGTCTGGGTACGCAGTTCAAAAAATGATGCTGAAAATGCTGCACACACCTATCCCAAAAATGTTGTATAGGTGGGCGCTCAAATGTGAGTCTCGAAAAATTTTGCATGCGTCTATGTTGACCAAAAATGAGGCCCAAAATGCTACACACGCCTATGATATCCAAAAATACTGTACAAGTAGGCAGCTCACGAGGTTTAGCGACAGCCATTGAAACGCACCTAACGCAGAGGCGTCCGTCAACATTCTAACATCCTCAACATACATAAATGCAGCATCCGTTATAATAAACACAGTAAAGGCCCGGTGTCAGTAAATAACGCTAAGTAAATAAACACACACTCACTCTGCGTTAAAGCCGTTGACGTGCAGGATCCGCATCTGTTTCACTATAGTGCTCTTACCGGATTCCCCAGCGCCTTAAAAAGCATAGAAAAAAGACATACGATGGTACATAGCTGAAATATGAGTATTTCCAGGGCCATGGAGAAATTATCCATCCATCCATGATGATGATGATGATAAAAATCCATATCTCTGATCGAAGTTCGCTGACACATATCTATGTTATTAATGTATCGGTTATAGAATCCTGTCTTACCTAATAAGAGCAGGCGGTGTGTGGCTTTATACGCCTGTCTCTCTTTCTGTAACTGTTTCTCGATCTTTTTATTCGCCTCTCGTTGCGCCTTCTCGTCGATGCGCTGATCTTCTGTCTTGCTGTTACCCAAACATCCCATGTTCAAAAGCCTCTCTCTCCCCAAATACACAGTAAATAATAATAATATCTCAAATATCTCCTGTAATGATGATTTGAAGTGTATCGGGCTGATAAATAGGGCGAGAAATCCGTGCGCCACGGGGAAAAAAAGGTTTCGGTTTGACTCCTTTACACACACGAGCGACAGATTCAATCGGATCTTCTCGATATATTCATGATCAATGTTTGAAAATCAGAGAAGCGGCTGAAACTCAGATTATCTGCCTCTCTCTTCCCTCGCTATTTTGCTGTAATGTGTCTGTTTGTGTGTCTTTAACTCAGCACTGCCTCTCTCTGCATTTACAGGAAGTGACACTCTACACTCAACCTGCTGATCCCAGGTCAGCCTCTCATATCACCACTACATCACTGCATTTAAAGCTTATGCAATCACTTCATCATTAAAAAGGCATAATTTATAAGTGCGTTTGTTACAGAATCCTCTACTCCAGCTACTTAACAATACAACATAATCATACCATTTTTATTTGATCAAATATCACATTATTTTTGCCAACAGAAATTGTAATTAAAGTAGTAATACATTGTATTAAATTACAACATATAAATCATGTGACGTCTTGCCCCAACCTGGTATTTTGTGTTTACATGCAAATATACTGAATGTCATGCAAACTAAGTTTTTGCTTTGCATAACATTGTCAAACCACTGTGCACAGCAAAAAAAAAAAAAAAAATAGAGACAGCTACATATTGGTCAAATGTAGGCCTGGTGATGTCATAATAAAAAGGAGGCTAGCAAGTAAAATAGAATTATTCATGCAATTAATATATAAATAAACTTTTTGATGACAGTATTACCCACCTCTTGTCCCTATTGCAGCATTAGTCAAATGTAAAGATTACTGAAGCATGTGAACATGAAGCATTCAAGTTGACAAATACTTTCTTCAAACTAATTCAACTTTACTGCCTGTTAATGGCTTCAAATGTAAGCACATACACTGTGATATATGTTCTGAATGTTTGGAGGATGATACTTATCATACCAGGATACAAAGAAATGAAAACAGGCTTGAACAATGGGAAGATTTTTCAATGTAAAATATATGAAAATGAGATGCAAAATTAATCTTAAAGGTTTCCAAGGTCACGAATAGTGACCAGTTAATGCAAATGATGGGTACTGACACATGAGACATGATTTAATACTTGTGTGCAGAATGAAAACTCTACCTTTAATGATAAAGAGCTTGAGTCAAAGTGCCCGAGTCTCCCCCTGGTGGACATTAGGCATGGCAAAATGTGCAATTAACGGACCTTTATTACGGTGCATTTAAACTCAGTTGTTGTTTTTACTATGTCCATGGTGTAATTCTAGGTTTATGGGTGTTTTGTTTGAAAACGTGTATAAATAATCATAAATAAGTATAATATAAATGATAATTATATAAATAATTTCTCAGAAGTTTATAAATAATTTCTCACATTTTTGTGGGTGGTCATGTTCTCTCAGAGGCAGTCTAGTGTTTTTTTTGTTTTTTTTTCTGGGTCTGGGTAATGCACTATACGTTAGTGCTATGACTTACCTTTAGTTCTCTGTCGCCTTGTCCGGAATCTGCTGAAGCTATTCTTTGCAGAGAGGTGGGGGAGAAATTTGCAATATATAAAATAATTTAATTATCATGTGACTATTTTATTTTATTTTTTAAACATTGTTAGTGCTGAAAAACATTAAAATTATTAATAAATACAAATAATTAATTGTTGGTGATAGTAACCTACAAAAATGTTTTCAATCTCAATCAGTAGGTGTTTAACTGTATAATTATATAAGAAAATGTGTTAAGTGGAACAGAGCACTTGTCACAATATTTATTCAATGCTATTGAATTTAGTGTGCAGTTAATGTATACCCTGCAGCCTGACATTATATATACATTATAAAGACGTTAGAAAATAATAATAATAACAACAACAATAATAAAAACATCTTATTTTATGGAAAACTGCAGGGTGGCCTGTTAACAGGGTGGCCTATATCTATAAATCATTCGAAAGGTCTAAGGTTTTATTATAAAATATATTATTATAATTATTATTTAAAAAAAAAAATCTGTGACAGTAATTTCTTAATTTTTTAGGAGGTATGCAAAATCTATAAATCCATGGAGTCCATGCCTTTTGTTACGGAGCTGACGAGACGAGAGGCGTGCGGATCCATGTGCAAGCTTTTATTAATAAACATGCAAATACAGTCTGAAACTGCAAGCAAAGGGTTAATCCAAGATACGTGGCAAGAATCAGGAACCAGGAAAACAGACAAGGCAAGACTATGACTAGACTATGAAAACTAGGGCAGGCTCTGTAAAGTAGCTATCACAGTGATAAACACTAAACAATACTTGGCGTTGAATGGTGGTATGAGACTGATTTATATAGTGTGTGTTATTGGTAGCAGCTGTGTGTGATTGGTTTCAGGTGAGCTTGTGATTAGTGCAATGGAGCATGGGAAATGTAGTCCAGGGTGATGTGTAACAGTCTGTGTAGTGTGAGAGTCCATGTGGAGAACGGATGTTTATAGACCGAATTTGTGACACCTTTAATATGCCTTTAATACTTAAATCACACGTTGAATCTCAATGAATGAAATATTTAAGTTGAAAATCTTTACTTGTATGCATTGTGTAATTCATTGAGAATAAAATGATGTGACAATGGTCAGTGGCTGGATTCAAATCACACCAAAAATCAAAGTAAAAAACTGAAATTACAGGCTGATCCAACTTGCATAAATTTAATCTAAGCAACTCATAATGTAAGTCAGTAGAGTGCATGGTTCATGCTGGATGATGTTCCAGGCTGTTATCGGGGAATAATGTGGATAGTGCATATGTGTCGAAGATAAGACCACCAATTGCAAATTCTGATCATAATGTGGTACATCTTGTACCAATTTATAAATCCAAGCTAAAAAGCAGTAAACCTGAGAAAAAAATTGGAGTTTGGTCTTCTGAGAACATTGAACAACTTAAAGCACGTTTTGATTGTACTATGTGGGAGGTGTTTTATCATGGCTCCTTAAATGAAATATTTTGGGCCCTCTTTTTGGACTTCACTTCTGCATTCAATACAATACAGCCAGAGCTTCTATTGACAAAAATGATTCAAATGAAAGTAAATCCTTATTTGATTCATTGGTATTATTAATTTTTGATAGGTAGAACACAGATAGTTAGAGTTAATCAGACATATTCAAATTCCATAGTCACTTATTCAGGAGCGCCTCAGGGGTGTGTGAGTTCCTTTTCTTTTTGCTTTGTATACAGATGATTATACTGTAAATCTGACAGTGTAAATACATACATATTGAAGTTCTTGGATGACACAGTACTATTGCCTTTATTGGCGATTGAAGATGATTTCAGCATGCATCAGTATTTGTACAGATAGATTAGTGGAGTGGTGTGAGAGGAATTCACTTGATATAAATGAACAGAAGACAAAGGAAATTATCTTTGGACTTCCAGAGAACATGCATCAAACACGAGTGACTATACATGATAAATTGATTGAAATAGTGTCTGCATATAATACTTGATGCTTGAGTAATACTTAGTAATACTGCACATAATACTTGAGTGTCTATGTGGATGCTGCTTTATCATGGAGTGCACATATAAGTCAAGTCAAGTCAAGTCAAGTCACCTTTATTTGTATAGCGCTTTATACAATACTGGTTGTGTCAAAGCAGCTTTACAGTGTTAAACAGGAAAATTGTTAGTCAATAATGCAAGACAATAACAGAGTCATTTTTCAGCTAAAGTCAGTTCATTGATGATTCAGTGATGTCATCATCCAGCTTCAGCGATGATGACGATCTTCACTGATCTACGAGACCCGAAGCCTGCTCGCCGTAGACACGCCTCACAGCGGACAAGCCGACAGCGATCACTCTCTGCTCACCTGATTCGCTGCTTCTCTCGCCGCCTTCAGCGCCTCAGCAGCAGCGTTCACCGCTTTCCCCTGCCGCCATCCAGCAATCTATTTTAAGAGCAAAGTTCAAAAGAGCAAATTTTCAAACACCATTGTTTCAAATGCCGCGCCATTATTGCAGTTATTAGTGCAGGTCTCCCCTGCATGCTGATGACAGCCACAGTGAGTGCGCTTCCTGCTTGGGGAAATTCCACGGGGAAGCCACCTTCACAGAGACGAACTGTTCTCACTGCGAGAACATGAGTCTCACCTCTCTGTGCTCATGGATAGCTCCCTTCTCAGAGAGCAACTCCGCCCCTCGTGCCCTCCCGTTTTCTTCCTCCCAGGGACCTGTGAGAAAAAAACAGCGGGGCAGAGGATCTCAGTGCTCGGAGAGGGGCGAGCTCACGACGGCTCAGGTCCTGCGTGCTTCGCCCTCTCCGCACAGAGTGGCTTCCCCCGTCCTCTTCACTCAGCCAGACCAGTGTCCCTCTGCAAGAGCGAACGTCATCGCAACGATGAATGGCTCGATGACAGCATGTCATTAGCGTAGCCTTGGACGCTGAGGAGCTGTCGGGCTCAGTCAATGACCCCACCCCCATGCCACCGTCTGAACCCAGTGACACCAAATTGTGGCGCGCCCCCTACTCAGCTCGCCTGCGTGCTTCATCTTCATCCGCCCTCACCTCCATAGACGGCGCTGAAGCGATGGGCTATGAAAAGCTGCCTCCCTCATAGCCCGCCCACTGCCATTGGATAGAAAGCAAAAATCGCTCACCCCTCCAAGCCTTGCAGAACTACATCTGCCCTTGCTGGACGAGCGTACTCCTCGGATGGGCAGGCGGCCTCCGCGCTTCATTCAATGGCAGTCCTCCAGGTCTTCCAGGCCAAACTCCTCTGCTGCATGGACGAGTATGGACCAGATCCCCGTCGCTTTCAAAGAGCTGTGCAGCGCGACCGACCTGGCTTTACGCGCCACCAAAACCACGGCTCACGTGATAGGAAGCGTAGTGGTGCTAGAGTGCCACCTTTGGCTGATGCTGATGGAAATCAAGGATGCGGACAAGGTCCCCTTCCTGGACTCCTCTATTCTCCTCTACTGGCCTTTTTGGACCCGCGGTTGAGGGATTAGCGGAGTGCTTCACTGCTGCGCAGAAGTCATCCCAGGCCATGCAACACTTCCTTCCGAAGCGCTCCAGCTCTATGGCTGCTTTTAGTCGCCCCAAGTCAGCGCCGACTCAGCAGCCCGCAAAGCCTGCGCCTCCAGCTGCCCAGACGGCTCCCAAGCCTGAGCCTCGTCAGCGCTCCCACTCTGCCAGGTGCTATCCGTTCCCTAAGCGTCAGGGACCCCGGCTCAAGTTAGGGCAGGACCCATCACTTCAGGCATCCTCCTGATCAGCGGG